ACTGGTCGTGTTCTCATCTCTTCTGAACAGCGGGCGGGCTCAGCCGTGCCCAGCCGTGTACCTCGGCCTGCGCTGGATCCCTTCTGCTACAGCCGGACTGCGCCTGGGAAGCTCCGTTAGGTTCGGGCACGCTGGTGCCAGTAACCACAGCTGCCTGTGGGCTGTACCTCTCCTGCAGCCCCAGTCCGTAAAGATCCTTTGACTACGATTCATATATATGTGCGTGCACACATTTATTTGGTTCCTTAAGCATTACGCTCAAGCTCCTTTTATATTTATGTGTTTCTTACTGTCTTAATTACTTTGCTCATATTTTGGTCGCGTGTGCGAGGTCCAGCTGTTAACAGCAGTGTATATTCAGATCATGCTGCGTAGAAATGCTTTTGTTCTTTAGTGCCACATGTTTGTTACGCACACATCCTAGTCCTTGGATAGATTACTCATTAGTCCACACGCTTTTTAGCTCCCCCGTACTTCACTCGCACAGCTACAATAATTAGACACTGTATTTTTCCAGCCTGCAGAACGTTGCAGCAGAGCCATGAAATGACGGGTGAAATGATAAGGCAACCTAGGGTAGGAGGTTGTCCAGCAAACTTGCATTCCTTCTTACTCCAGCCTTTCACCTCTTTCCCGCTCTGGAAGCTGACTGGCTGGTTTTTCTGTTTTGTAATGTTTTCTTTGAGGGATTTCGTAACATCTAATTAAAAAGCGTTAAGTTGTTGAAAGCTCTATCTGAGCCACTCTAAGGTCAGGTGTTTAAGGTCATGTTTTTGGTGTGGGTGACTTGAGCTCGTAGAAGGGATGAAGTTCAGTCTCTGAGTAATTTCAAAGATAAGGTGTTGCTAGAGAGACATTCCGTGCACCTTCCAAAGATGGTGTGAGATTTCTCCCCTAATCCCCAACTTTTCTGCTGACGTTCTTCGGGTGCCAGCGTGTCCATCCCAAAGTGGCACTTTCCCACTGCATCCAGCTGCTCTGCTCTCAGCCAAGATGAAGTGGTTCAGGTCCTCGCGCTGGTGCTGCCCCTCTGCCAGACTCTCATATGGGGAGTAGCACTCGCCCCTTGGTCCAGGTTTTTGCGCTAGGATTTTCCAAAGATCCCGATTTCTGGCTCTGTCAAAGTTTTCTTTGGGACTTCCCTCCCTTTTTTCCTGTTTTTTCTTCTTCCTTCCCCCCCCCCCCCCCCCCCATAGGTCTGTGCAGTTAGTCCTGCGTTCCCCTGCCTGACAGGTTTCTTCTCCTAGCCTTTCAAAAATGTCTTTCTGAAAATGTGACCTTCTGAGCATTTGTTACGAAGCGGCAGCTAATGCTCTCCGGGTGTGCTGTGAGTGAGGTTGGCAGGATGGGGAGGGATGTGACCGATGAGCTGCCTGGGGTCGGGCATGTCCCCTCTGAGCCTGGAGCCGCTTGCTCTGCACCCCAGGCGATGGAGGACGAGCTGCTCGCCCCCTGTAAATCCCAGTCTTAGCGCCAAACAATTTCTAGACGTTGTGTCGAGAGGGAAGGTGGTTTGACAGAGCCGTGCAAGCATCCTAAAAACACTCCGTGGAATGTTTAGTAATTTGGTGTGGTGGCTGGGGCGGTGCTGAGGACTGCCCGCAGGGAGGCAACGCAGGTTGAGAGTCTGGGTCTGTGCCGCTGTGCACACGTACGTGCGTACACACACTGGTAAAGAATTTTTTTCCTTTGTTTGTTGGGTTACAGCGGTAAGCAAACGGCACAGCTCATACACGACTTGATCAAGTCTCTGTGTTTTTGCTGCTGTGGATATGTATTTGTGAAAATATGCCGTTTGCTTGAAAATGCTGCAGATAGCCCTTTGTTATTACTGAACGCTGTGTTTTCAGGGTCAAAGAAGAAAAGGACTCTCTGTGTGTCTCTTTCTCTTTTCTTTTTCTTTTCTTTTTTTTTTTTTACAGTGCCCTGCTAGAATAATTAGCTTGTCTGAAGTTAATACTTCTTTTGAGTGCAAGCTTCCAGAATCGAGGAACTGAGCGGTGTGCCTCTTGCCATCGAGGATTACCAGAACTTAATCTTTCTGTGCAAAGGCAACTAATCTCAGGCATGCAAACAGGGTTTATTTAACTGCGCGCCAGCGCTTTAAAGCATTGATGTATGAAATCCCTTGCAAATTCAGATGTACTTGCTGCTAATCGCTTCTCCACCTGCTCGTCCGCCTCCGTCCCCCACATCCCAGAATCCGCCTATCGGTGTCAGTCACTGGAGACTGATGGTGACACGTGCAGCCGCCGTTTGCCAGCTCCAGCCCCAGCCTGTGCTCTCGACGCCTGGGCGGTCGCTGCCCGCCGGCGGGGCAGCGCGGTGGTAGTTTTGCCGTCGTTAGGACCCAACTTTCCTTTTGTGCTCGGAGCTGGAGCTCGGAGGCTTGCGTGGAGCCGCACTAAGTGTGGGAGCTCAACCCTGGACTCCATCTTTTAAACAAATAAACAAGCTGGGAACGGGAGGAGAACTGGCTGAAATACTGAAATATGATCAGCATCTTGCCATGTTTCTCATGCAGTTTGCAGGTAAAGTAGGTGTTTTGTGTGCTTTTCCTGAAAGCGTGTTTCTCCGATAATGTCTTGTTAGTGTTGTTGGCATATAGGATTATATGGAGTCGACAGAAGTAACTATCAAAAGGCCACTGGTCTCATCAGCGCGCCTAGGCAGCTTCTGGATCAAATTAATGATTATAAAGCTCTAACCATGACACTTAAGCCAGGAGTACAGTAGAAAAGGGTGCACAAGCCCAAGAGTAGTTTTTGAACCTGGGAACTAGTCTTGGAAAGCAAACGGTTGGTACCGAAATGTGACTTCAAAGCCTCGGTATCTTCTCTCCTTTCCCTTCCTTGCTGTTTTCTCTGTGTTTTCTAACTGATTACTGCAGATGCCACGTACTTTGGTTTCTTCTAAAGTGGGTTTCTTTAGAGGTGAAAACAAGCAGTATGTAATCAGATGGCAGATTGCATCCTGGAATCCAGTTTATTTCTAAATTGCATTTCTAAACATGCAGAAAAGATAAGGGACCTCCATTCAGGCTGAGCAATACTTATTTCATTTATTTGCCAATATTGGCAAAAGGTAAATCCATATTTATAGTAAAGCCCGTGTCAGCCCATTTCTTAAGTTCCTCTTGATGCTGGGAAAGAGAGAAGTTTGAGTGGGCATAATCTATGTGGGCTTTTTAAGTGATTCATTAAAATGCTTTTAGGTATGTGAAAGTGTCAGAATACCTGTTACTAGGTTTTTTTTTTTCCTTTGAGTTACTGGGGAGGGATTTGTGTACCTGCTTTTTATTAATTAGTTGGACGTCAAGAAGACCGTCGGAGTGTCTGACCGGCAGCAGCGTGAGGTTGCTGTCAGAGCATGCGGTTCCCTCGTCTGGCCCGGGTGAACTGGTTTCTGTGCCTCTGAAGCAGTGCCAGGCTTGTGGGCAGAGCTCCTGTCGTCGTTTGGTTGAACATTAGTAAACCCAGCAGGGAAGATTTTGCAAAAATCTTGAAGTGGAAGCCCTGTTGAGGTGCTGTTTTCCTATACGGTCATAGGAGCCTCGCACAGTGAGCTGCGCAAACCCCCGTTTTGGGTAGAAGTGTTGTCAGCACGTTCAGCGCTTGGTAATGGGAACGATCTGTGAAACTGCTTTTCAGTTCACGCTGTTGACTATGTCCGATTTCTTTTTTTTCACTGGTCATTAAGGCAAATGGCCAAGCTCCGTTAGCAGGAACTGGTGGTTGGAAAATGAAGTTCTGTCCAGGGTCTGGCATGGGACCCGGTGAGGGTAGATACTTCCCTTGATTTATACCTGGAACATTGAGATCTTTCCTATCTCTATCCAGGCCCTTTCTAAACGTGTGCTGTAAAAGCTACAGCCATATATAGCATCAGCACAGACCCGAATCGATACCTACCCAAAGGGACAGGCGGGGCTGGGCATCGTTAATGCTGTTTAGGACAGCGGGAGGCTGCCGCGCGTCTTCCCGTAAGACACAACTCGGCATCTGTTTCCAGAGGTGAAGACCACCTGCAGCAACCTGCTGCTGCCGCCTGAGAGGACTTGCTGATAGTCGTTTCCTGCTCATCTTTAAGCATCTTCACTGTTTTCCCCAATCCGTTTTTTCTAGTGAGGAATCTTCTAGTCCAGGTTGGTTTTTTTAATCTTTAATTTTTTTAATATTTTAATCACTGCATTATGGCAACTCCTGATATTTTGCTCCTAAAAATTCACTCTTCTGAAAATCCTTGGAGATACATACTGGGTGTGCTTGGAGGTGAAGGGCACGCTAACGCCTGTGCCATGTATGGCTCTCTAGAAATGCCAACACTGGTCTGACACTCACTGAAAGCCTTAATTTTTCTCCCCCTCCCCCTTAGCTTCTGCATAGCACTTCACTGCAAATGCAGAAATCTGCTGATTTCTGCCTTTCCTGGCTGGTGCTCTACAGAGCCTCAGTAAAACTGAGTAAAACCCCGAGGCTTGCTCCCGTGCTGGTGGTCCCTTCCTTCCTGAGCAGACCAGCTCAAAATAGCCAAGGATGCTTCGTTAAGGTCGGAGCAAAGGAAAAGTGCTTGTGCCTCACAGTCGTACTGGCCGATTCTGCCAGCTTTTATCCTGCCCTGTGCCCAGGAGAGAAGTTTTTCTGCAGGTTCAGCTTTCTTCTCTGCTCATTGTTTGTATCCAGTGGGATGTGGTTGGAGCTCAAGCTGAACAGCAGTTCGCAGAAATGATATGAGAGGCAATCGGTTCTGAAGGTGGCTACTGTCCATGGCATTTACCAATATTAGGGTGGAAAATCTGACATAATGAGGAGTTTCTTACTCCAAAGTGCGTTGGAAATCTTCTCTCTGGGTTGGCTGAATTCTTGGAGCAAACTCCATATGGCAAGAGAGCAGCAAGCAAGGTGCCCGCTGCTTCCGTCGCCCGCTTTTCAATACTACCCTTTTCTTTTGTGGGTCATTTACTCTTTCTCTGTCTTGGGGGAGTGAGAGCAAAGCTTTCCCAAGACGTTTTGCTTCTCCGTATTGAGTGTGCCATAACGTGCCTGTGGATGATAGCTCATCCCGTCTTGGGGGACCCTGGAGAGCCGCAGGCAAGGACAAGGCTGCCTGCTCCGAGTCGCGTGGGTGCCTCCACCCAGAGCCTTCCAGCCGGTGCCTGACAAGAACCTTGTTCCTGGCTGTAGGCAGGCTCTTGGGACAGGCAGCTGTGCCCAGGGACTTTTTACTGCTCACCATAACCACCCTCGCAGAGGTCTGGACGTGTGTTATTAAGTGAATGACAGTTTCTATAGATGAAGGCGACTCAGTGACCATCAGCAGTAGCTCCTGGCTTTCTCTGCTCACAGTGCCTGGAGCAAAACAGGGCACAGTGCCTGTGGAAGTAGGTCTTGGGTTCCTGGAAGACCTTGTTGGAGGAGCTACCAGGATCTCTCATGTGAGTGGGACTAAGAATAACTGCATCTTCTCTAGCGCTGTTTCTAGACAACACTACCCAGAAAATACATTCATTTTTGTTTATGGCTTGTGAAGGAGCTACTCAGTTTCCAGCCTGTGCCTGCAAAGAAAAATATGTTGCAGTTCATGATCTCATCAACTTCCATTTTCTGTAACTTCTGAATATTTCTGACTTGTGGAATTTTAGTCTGAGGCTGTATAAGGACAATAGTGGGCTTCTCTTCCAGAGCACTCGTACCATGTGCTCTGCATGCCATAATGAAGTTGTAAATGCAGAAGGTTAGCTTTAAAACCAAGGAAGTCCTATTTCTACCTTTTGAAGAGGCTTAGGCACTACGAAGGAGCATATCGAATGAGAAGGGTAGCTCTAAACCAGTTCTTGTGTTGAGAAATAATTGGCTTGGAAGGAAAAAAGCTGTAGATTGGAATGAAGCTTCACAGCAGGGGTGCATACTTTCCTCCTTTTCTCATGCAGTTTGGTAACGTTTTCGGACACGAAGCTTAATTTGAAGCAATCGCGTTTTAGCTCTCTAAATCTGACATCCTAATGCAGGGATTCACAGGAAGGAATCCTTGCTGCCTCAGCACTGCCTCAAAGTGCATCGCTGGCCTGTGAGGTATCAATTGGAAAAAAGGCTATAGGAAAGTCAATCGCTTATTCTGGAAATCTGAGTGCAATATAATAATTTTTGGTTTCGTTCATACCCTCGTCCCTTCATTGTACTGGTGTGGCTGTTTTAGGATTGCTCTGTGAGACATGACCGTTGTTACATGGCTTGAGGTTGAAAACAAAACCAAATCCTCCAGTGGGAACAAAATGAGGGTTTTAACTCTGACCTCTTCGCTGATCTTGGTGTGGTCTCTCAAATAGGATGACCTAAGCCATGGCTTGATGAGGCAGTGAGCCTGGATCTGGATTCCTGGTACTGGTGCCTTAATCATGCCATGTGTGGTCACCTTTGAGCATTAATCTGACACCATGAGTTTGTACCAGCACAAAAAATGTTGCTGCATTCACGTCTGGGGATCATGTGTTGCGTCTGTTTGAGAGCATATCTGATTACATTTAATGAGAGCCCATAAATAATAAATTTTTTGGAAGCGGGATATTCATGAAGTGGCTGGAGCAAGTCCACAGTCCGTTCTCCCAGGCGTGTCTCTGGTTGTCTTTATGATGCTTTTGCTCGGTTTTGCCCACGTCTCTCACAGGTAGCGCATGCATGTTGGTAGTTAGAAATGCATTTGTTGAAGTAATGCTGGGCTGAACGCATCCTCATCCTTTAGGTAGTCATTGATCTCACACTGGACTTCACCTGACTTCCCCCAAAAAACACTCCACTGAACTTTAACTTACGTTGCTGTCACCCTTAGGCAGTTCCTATGATGAGAGTCCCTCACCTTGGGGAGGAACGACCCCATGCACCGGTACATGCTGGGGACAAGCTGCTGGAAAGCAGCGTTGTGGAAAAAGTCTTGAGTGTTCTGGTTGACATCAAGTTGAACACGAGCCAACAATGTACCCTTGCAGCAAAGGAGGTCAGCAGCATCCTGGGCTGCGTTAGGTTGAGTATTGCCAGCAGGTCCAGGGAGGGGATCCTTCCCCTCAGCACTGGTGAGGTCACACCTGGAGTGCCGTGTCCAGTTCTGGGCTCCCCAGAACAAGAGAGTCATGGGTGTTCTGGAGTGAGCCCGATGAAGGGATTGGAGTGTCTGTTAGCGAGGAGAGCCTGAGAGAGCCGGGGTTGTTTAACCGGGAGAAGGCTTGGGGTGGGGGCAGAGGGAGTCTTATCAATGTGTTCAAATACATGTTGATGTGAAAGAGTAAAAGAGTAAAGAAGATGGAGCCAGAGTCTTCTCAGTGGTGCCCAGTGAAAGGTCAAAGGGCACACATCAAAATACAGGAAATTCAGCTAAGCATGAGAAAACTTTGTTTGCTGTGAGGGTGATTGGGCACTGGAATGGTGGAGAGTACATACCACAGAGAGGTGGTGGAGTCTCTGTCCTTGGAGATATTCAGGACCCAACTGGACAGTGCCCTGAGCAATCTGCAGGAGCTGACGCTGCTTTGAGCAGGCGG